TTTTTTGTATTTTAGTAGAGACAGGGTTTCACCATGTTGACCAGGATGGTCTCAATCTCCTGACCTCGTGATCCGCCTGCCTAGGCCTCCCAAAGGGCTGGGATTGTAGGTGTCAGCCACCGCACCCAGACAGCTAAGCATTTCTACAGCATATTTAATATCTGTTTTATAGATGATCACGGAATCACAGAAAGTTCAATCTTGGAAAAAAAACAGGTGGTTCCAACCTCTCACCTCTATAGCCAAGGAAACTACAGCCCAGAAAACCTGGGTGATTCATGCCCCTAGTGCCAGAATTAAAGCCCAGGGCTCCTGACTCCCCATCCAGCACCGTTCCTGCCACTCTCCAGGGCTCCCTTCAGTTTATTCACGCTGCTTGGAAGGAGATGAACGGCAAGCTCACCTTGCGGACGCTAGGCAGCACGTAAGGCTTTCCATTATCATCCCGGTAGGCACCAACTCCCAGATTCATCTTTTTGCTGTTGGTGTCCCTCTTAAAGGCTTCAGTGACTCCCAGGATGGGATCTGGAGGTCCCATTTCCACATGGGTCCACCAGGAGCTGAAATGAGAAATACATTAGCTCAATCCCATTAGCTAGATCCAAGATCCATTTTACTTATTTATGAGACAGACTCTTGCTCTGCTGCCCAGGCTGGAATGCAGTGGTGCCATCTTGGCTCAATGTAGCCTTCACCTCCTGGGCTCAAGTGATTGTCCCGCTCCAGCCTCCTGAATGGCTGGAATTACAGGCATGTGCCACCACACCCAGCTAATTTTTAGTGGAGACGGGATTTCACCATTTTGGCCAGGTTGGTCTAGAACTCCTAACCTCAGGTGTTCCAGGGCACTCAGTCACAGTCACATTACTATCATGTTTAAAATTATGAAAAATACAAATTTGTGTTAAATGAAATTGAATTGTTATTATGATAAACTTTTTTTTTTTTTTTTTTGAGCTTTGCAAAGTCTCACTCTGTCACTCAGGCTGGAGAGCAGTGGTGTGATCTCAGCTCATTTCAGTCTCTGCCTCTTGGGTTCAAGCAATTCTCCTCCCTCAGCCTCTGAGCCAAAACAGTATTGATGTACAGAAAATTGAGCAGATAGTATAGTCCCATACACCCCAGCCCCAGGTTTCCCCATTATCATTTTACATTGGTATGGCCCATTTGTTACAATTAATGAATCCATACTGATACATTATTTTACTTTTTTTTTGAGATGAAGTTTCACTCTTTGTCTCCCAGGCTGGAGTGCAATGACGAGCTTTCGGCTCACTGCAACCTCCACCTCCTGGGTTCAAGGGATTTTCCTACCTCAGCCTCCCAAGTAGCTGGGATTACAGGAGCCCGTCACCACACTTGACTAAATTTTTGTATTTTTTTTTTCTTTTTTTAGACGGAGTCTCACTCTTGTTGCCCAGGTTTGAGTGCAATGGCCAGATCTTGGTTCATGGCGTAACCTCCGCCTCCCAGGTTCAAGCGATTCTCCTGCCTCAGCCTCCCAAGTTGGTGGGATTACAGGCAGGCGCTGCCACACCCGGCCAATTTTTGTATTTTTAGTGGAGACAGGGTTTCTCCATGTTGGTCAGGTTGGTCTCAAACTCTCAACCTCAGGTGATCCGCCCACCTTGGCCTCCCAAAGTGCTGGGATTATAGGCGTGAGCCACTGCACCTGGCCCATACTGATACATTATTAAATCCACACATTATTCAGATTTCCTTAGTTTTCACCTAATTTTGTTCCATGATTCCATCTAGGACATCACATTACAGTTAGTTGCCATGTCTCCATAAGCTCCTCTTAGCTGTGACAGTTTTGGGAATACTGATCAGGTATCTTGTAGGATGCCCCTCCACTGGAATTTGTCTGAAGTTTTTCTTACTAGACTAGGGATGGGGATATAGGCTTTTGGGAGAACAGTAATTGTATTTTGTAGTATGTCAGCTTGAAGATAACTTCTTTCTTTCTTTTTTTTTTTGAGATGGAATCTCACTCTGTCTTCCAGGCTGGAATGCAGTGGTGAGATCTTGGCTCCCTGCAAACTCTGCCTCCTGGGTTCAAGAGAATCTCCTGCCTCAGTCTCCTAAGTAGATGGGATTACAGGCGCCCACCACCATACCCAAATTTTTGTGTTTTTAGTAGAGATGGGGTTTTAACATGTTGGCCAGGCTGGTCTCGAACTCCTGACCTCAGGCGATCTGCCCACCTTGGCCTCCCAAAGTGTTGGGATTACAGGTGTGAGTCACTGCACCCAGCCTTGAAGACAATTTCCAAGATCTTTAGGGTGACTTACAATTTTGGTCTAATATTACAAGTTGATTAACAGATTATTATTCATTGCATACCTAATCAATTTCTAAGATAGACTACAGACACATTGATTTCCAAGCATAATTAAAAATTTATATACCTTTGCTTATTTTTACATGCTGAAGAGGCTATAGCTTTGAGTCATTAAAATGAAAAGGTCTTTTTTTGTTGCCACTTTAAGGAGGCATAAAAGGGATATACGTGGCTGTAGAATTTGTGCTGCGTGTGTTCATGAGTTTTGCCTCTCTGTTCATCACCACCCTCCCTTCTTAATTTTCTCTGGGAAATAGAAGCTACTTTGGTTAAAAGATAAGCAATGAGTGTTGAGACAACACAAGGATCAATAGTGACAAATAATACAATTCTGTGTTTTTAAGGAAAAAGAGTAGAATTGCTCTATAGCAGTTCTCAAACTTTAATCTTTAGATCCTGGATTCTGTTATACTCTTAAAACTTACTGAAAACCCCAAAGAGCTTTTATTTATGTGGGGTCTAACTATTAATACTTACTGTATTAGAAAGACTGAGCAGCTTGTTTTACTTACTGATTCATCTGAAAATAGCAACGATGGAAGCATACTGTATGCTAACATAACATGGACCTAACATTTTCCCAGGGAGAACTATTATCCTGAAGTACCAGTTTGCTTTAAATATAAAAGAGCATATGAGGACAAAACTTGGAATGTGAATTTTTAAAAAATTAATTATTTTTTTAACCTTTGAGACAGAGTCTTGCTCTGTCACCCAGGCTGGAGTGCAGTGGTATGATCTTGGCTCACTGCAACATCCACCTCTAGGTTCAAGCGATTCTTCTGCCTCAGCCTCCCAAATAGCTGGGATTACAGATACGCACCACCATGCCTGGCTAATTTCTATATCTTTAGTAGAGACAGTGTTTCACCATGTTGGCCAGGCTGGTCTCAAACTCCTGACCTGGCTGTGAATTGTGTTATGATTTATAATAAATGAATCTGAAAAGAAGCTGACTTAACTGTTTTGTCTTTTTTAAAGAAATGGGTCTTGGCCAGGTGCAGTAGCTCATGTCTGTAATCCCAGTACTTTGGGAGGCCGAGGCAGGCGGATCACCTGAGGTTAGGAGTTTGAGACCACCCTCAGCAACATGACAAAACCCCGTCTCTACTAAAATACAAAAATTAGCCGGGCATGGTGACAGGCACCTGTAATCCCAGCTACTTGGGAGGCTGAGGCACGAGAATCGCTTGAACCCAGGAGGTGGAGGTTGCAGTGAGCCGAGTGCGTGCCACTGCACTCCAGCCTGGGCGATAGAGCAAGACTCAGTTTTAATAAACAGACAAACAGATAGGTCTCACTCTGTCCCCCAGGCTGCAGGACAGCCTTGACCTCCTAGACTCAAGCCATCCTCCCACCTAAGCCTTCCAAGTAGCTGGGACTACAGGCGCACAGGGTTAACATTTTAACAAAGTTTGCCCAATCTTGATGGCCTAGTTTCCTTGGTTTAGTGATTAATGACTTCACCTACAAAATAAGTTTAAAAAAAAAAACCAAAAAAACCTTCTGTGCAATCAGCCTAGATAGTAGAGATTCTCTGCTTTGCCAGAACACTATTCTAGGCTTTACGATCTTCTAAACCAATCACTAAGAACACTATGTGCTAAGGGCTGGGCATGTAAAGAAGAATATATTCCCTTACCACCCAACTAGTCCACTGGGGTGATCAGCAGGGAGCTGCAAGAAGTGTAAGTTGGGCACTGCGGGGAGATGATGGACAGTAATACAGACTGACCTGGGGCACAGGATATTATTTATGGGAGCTCTGAGCAGAGGACCTAATAGGTTGGAGAAGGGAAGGAAAGTACTGTACAGGTTAGGAAGGCTTCCTGGAGGATGTGACTTAGCAGCTGAGTGCTAAGGAAGAAAGAGAGAGAAACAAAAAGGAGCTTTCCAAGCAGAGGCTTAAGAAAAAAGGCTCATGGTTAGAAAGAGCTGGGGGTTGTTGCAGGAGAAACGGGTAGCTAAAAAAGCAAGGCTTCAAATGACCCAGGTGAAATGGCCCAAATTCTCCTAGTAATCACTTATCCATTGTGAATCAGCCACGTGTTTCAGTATGACACCATGGTGTGTTCACCGTGCTGATAAACTCATGAATTATTTCACGAACATTTCTTTCCCAACAAAGTTTCTCTTAACGTACTTGTGGCCAGTCAGCACTCACACACCTCACTCCTCCACGGCATACTGGATGGCAGTGCAGAGTTTAATTCATGCTCTCTTGACAAGTTAAAGACTGCCGCAGTCTCAATCACTGTAATTAATTAGTGTGTACACTCAATTCTCTGTTATTTAAGGGCAGATTATTCCAGTTTTTTTGATTTCCCAGGTTCTTACTTCTTTTAATGGTTCTTTTAATAGCTTGCCTTGGGTAATTTCAGTTCTGGGCAAACTGCATGGATTCAAATAACAGCTCGTCACCTGCCAGCTGTGTGAGCACTGGCAAGTAAATTAAGCCTCAACTTTCCTGTTTCTAGTACCTAGGCAATAGTAAGAAGCACAGATACCTTGAATCAACTTCTGAAATGGGCCTGAAGAAAGCTTTCATTTTTACTTATCCACAATTCAGACCCTGAAAACATGTAGCCACCTGTCTATCTACATCACTGTCATTAACTGCTGAGTGAAAGGAATACTCTGAATGTCAAGGACATACTAGATTATAAAAGATAACACTTCTAGAAAACAGTTTTTATTTTTAAAAAGATAGTCTGGCTGGGCATAGTGGCACTTGCCTGTAGTCCCAGCTACTCAGGAGGCTGAGGTGGGAGGGTCACTTGACCATAGGGTTTCAGACCAGCTTGGGGCTACATTCTCCTGTCTTGGAGGGGGCGGGAGGGGGAGATAGTCTGTATCCTCCAAGCCCTCAATCAAAAACAAAGCCACTGACCACTGCTCCCAACCACAAGGACAGAAGGCATCATTTTTGTTCAATGGTGTAAAAAGCACTTATTTTTCAAGTTCTTTAAAATGTTAAGCATAGAAATTCAGAAACCATAGTCTTGGGTCTTCTGGTATATATCTTAAGAATTCTAGCCAGGCGTGGTGGCTCACACCTGTAATCTAAGCACTTTGGAGGCCAAGGTGGGCGGATCACCTGAGGTCGGGGGTTCAAGACCAGCCTGACCAACATTGTGAAACCCCATCTCTATAAAAAAAAAAAAAAAAAAAATTCTAAAAGGAATTTCAAAATACTGAATTTTTAAACAATCTAGATACAGAAGTGGAGATACTCAATTAGTTTTTTAAAAATAATATGTAATAAATTATGTTCATTTTACAATTACAATGCTAGTTTTTAGATTGAAAATGAAATAGATACCTGAGGCTGCTCAATAAAAAAAAAAAGAAAATGAAATACAGATTAAAGAATACAGGTACAAAAACCACATATCTATTGCTTGAGACAAGCAGAAAAATGCTTTATAATCCAGATCATGAGGAAGATGGTTCTTCACCAGGGAGAGGTGAAGGGGTTGCCTAGTCAGGGAACATTTGACAATTTCTGGAGACATTTTTGTTTGTTGAAACTTTGGGGGAAAGCAGGTACTACTGGCATCTAGAGGACAGAGGCCTGCAAAGTTTTTCTTTTAACTTTTATTTCAGGCTCAGGAGTACATGTGTGTGTCAGAGAGTTTGGTGTACAGATAATTTCATCATCTGGGTAATAAGTATAGTACCTGACAGTTATTTTTTTCTGATTTTCTCCCTCTTCCCATTCTCTACCCTCGGGTAGGCCCCAGTGTCTGTTGTTCCCCTCCTAGAGGGATATTCATTTTTTTTTTTTTTTTAGGGTCTCACTCCGTCACCCAGGCAGGAATGCAGTAGTGTGACCACAGCTCACTGCAGCCTCTACCTCCTGAGCTCAAGTGATCCTCTCTGAGTAGCTGGGACTACAGGTGCATGCCACCATGACTACTTCCTTTTTTGTAGAGATGGGGTTTTGCCATATTGCCAGGGTCAAGTGATCCTCCCACCTCAGCCTCCCAAAGTGCTGGGGTTACAGGTGTGAGCCACAGCACCTGACCTAGAGGGAATACTCAAATTTAATTAGCCCCACACTAGTAACCACCTTTCAGCTTCTCCATGCCTTTTATTATTCCATTTCTTAAAATGGTAAAGACTCCACATATATTGTAAGAACTCTGATGTTTTTAAAGAAATTGAGTAGATGAAAATAAGTGTTCTAGGGGCAAAACTAATGCTAATAACCTGTGACCTATAAAGTGATTCCTATCAGTACACTTTGGATACAAGCACAAAGCCTCAAACATTGAGCAATGTTGACTAGTCATCCAAGAGAGGTTAGGTACAAAGTATTCAGGTAAGCCTTTCCAACTGAAACGCATTGCCATTTCCCTGGAGCTTAAGCCTACTTAAAGTTTTATGATTTTTAAACTGCTTTTCCTCACATTCTTATTTTAAAATCAGAAGGGGAGTTAATTAGCTTGCCCACAGTCACAGAGCTAAAAATAGCAGAGACAATAGCACAGTTGTGATTTTTTTTTTTTTTTTTTGAGACACAGTCTTGCTTTGCTGCCCAGGCTGGAGTGCAGTGGCGTGATCAGCTGGTTCACTGCAACTCTTCACCTCTCAGGCTCAAGCTATCCTCCTACCTCAGCCTCCCAAGTAGCTGGGACTCCACCATGCACACCACCATGCCCAGCTAATTTTTGTATTTTATGTAGAGATGGTGTCTTGCCATGTTGCCCAGCTGGTCTAGAACTTCTGAGCTCAAGTGATCCACCTGCCTCAGCCTCCCAAAGTGCTAGAATTACAGACGTGAGCTACTGAGCCTGCTCTGTGATCTTCTAGCTAATGGTTATGGTACCACAGCTGGACACTGCATATCTAAAGAGTCTTGTGAGACCTGCTCAGTTATTTCATTAAAAATTAAACAATCAGAATTAAAAACAAATCATTATAAATCAAAATACATTAGCATTTTTTTTTCTTCATTGAACTCCAACTATGTCTGATCTTATGTCACTATACTTTTACAGTACAGGTCAGGAACAGAAAGTTTTATTCACATTGTTTAGTTAAATGATACACTTGAATTTACAGAGTTCCACATATTTACCAAGAGTTCCAAGTATGCCATTGGATAAATCCTCAGTTCTTTAGAATAACAACTGACAAGGTTTTATTGTAATAGAAATGTTGATGAGTTCAGTTTATTTTAAATATTTTCCACTTTTACCATTTGGATCTAGGTAAAGATCACTTCCGCAGTGGAAGGAGTGAAGTCTGACCTCCTTGCCTGAACAGTTAACCTTCATGCCAGACACGGCACCTGGTTCTATCATCTAATTAGGTATCACTGTTTAAATTTGAAGAGTAATTCCTCAACATCAGGTGCTCAACTATTTTAAGAATTTATTTTCTGGTAAGGTAGGGTGGCTCAGCCTATAATCCCAGCACTTTGGGAGGCTGATGTGGGAGGAGTCTGAGACCAACACAGGGAGAACCTATCTCTACAAAAAAATAAAAAATAAAAAATTGCCTGTAGTCCCAGCTACATGGGAGGCTGAAGCAGGAGGATCACTTGAGCCTGGGAGGTCAGGCTGCAGTGAGCCACCGTTGTGCCGCTGCACTCCAGCCTGGGCAACAGAATGAGACCCTGTATTTAAAAAAACCAAAAAAAAAAACCCTCTCTTTTTTTTTTTTTTTTTTTGAGATGGAGTCTTGCTCTGTCACCCAGTGTCACCCAGGCTGGAGTGCAGTGGCACAATCTCAGCTCACTGCAACCTCCGCCTCCTGGGTTCAAGCAATTCTCCTGCCTCAGCCTCCGGAGTAGCTGGGATTACAGGCGTGTGCCACCACACCCAGCTAATTTTTGTATTTTTAGTAGAGATGGGGTTTCACCATGTTGGCCAGGCCAGTCTCGAACTCCTGACCTTGTGATCCATCCACTTTGCCCTCCCAAAGTGCTGGGATTATAGGCGTGTGCCACTGTGCCTGACCAAGAATTTATTTTTTGTACATATTTTGCAGCACTGTGGTTCCCCTGTGTGTGTGTGTGTTTAAGGTTAGTTGAGTGAAGGAACAATAAAATCTAACTGGTTATGATCAATTAGTTGTAAACACCATTACACTTGGACCAGCCCATGTTCAGATTTTGATCTAAGATATAACATTAAAATGTCATACTGCATTTGCTGCTGTTGCATTAAGGGAAAAATCAGGGCTTAAAAATATCCAATATGAGAGACATGCCAGGAGCCTTAATAGTGCTGAGACATAACAGTGAATATAAAGTAGGTAAAGTCTCTGCTCTCATGAAACTTACACTCTAATGGGAAAAGAAAATGAGTCAGGCTCTCAAACTGAAAGAATGACTAACCCTGAGGCCAAGGGATTTTTACCAAGCACTAGAGCTTCAGGCGACCTAGCCAAATCCATAATACAAGGTATTATTTTACGATTACTACAATGGGTAAACATACTTTCTCTTGCCCGAAATGTTAAGCACTCCTTTGCTTTTTCTAAATTTGCTGCATAAATAACTCCTCCTGGCTCTGGCCCACTAGGTAGGCAGGCTTAAAGAGCACACGTTGACAGTGGGCCAGGAAGGAGCCAAGTCAGGAAGAGAAGCAAGTGGGAAGCCTGGGCTAAACTATACTGCCAAGGCTGCGGGGCCTTGGAAAGAACAGACCGTTCTGCTGGTTGAAAGATACAGAGTACACATTCAAACGAAAGGCCAAGCAATGCTTTGCTCCTTGCAGTAAATACCTGCTTGGGGGTGGTTTTAAAACTCAGTTTCTGGCCAGGCACAGGGGCTCACGCCTGTAACCCTAGCACTTTGGGAGGCTGAGGCGGGCGGATTACCTGAGGTCAGAAGTTCGAGACCAGCCTGGCCAACATGATGAAACCTTGTCTCTACTAAAAATACAAAAATTAGCCGGGCATGGTGGCACATGCCTGTAATCCCAGCTACTCGAGAGGCTGAGGCAGAACTGCTTGAGCCCAGGAGATGGAGGTTGCAGTGGGCCAAGATCGTGCCACTGCACTCCAGCCTGGCCTACAGAGCGAGACTTTGTCTCAAAAACAAAATCAAACAAACAACAACAACAACAACAAAACACAAAAATACTATGTGCCTTATCAAGGTAGTACTTAAGCAGAGTGCTCCAAATCGCCTTCTTGAGTTGAATTAATCGTCTGGCTCTGGTCTCCACTGGGAATGAATTGCCAGAGCTCATTTCATGCTCTGAAATTTCCCTCCATACTAGTATACACACCACAGTACGAAATCATGTTGTCATTTTTTGGGCAATGACAATTCGTCATTGTCCTTCCCTCGCCTTGTTCACAGTTGTATTGCCAGCATCCGGTCCAGTGCCTGGCTTTGAGAAACTGCAGTTACGATATATTTACTGAATGAAAGAGCACAGGGAGATGGAGAGGAAGATTGATGGCCTCTCTGCAACCGATCTCCTTAGGGGCAACAAGGGAGGGGGAAAAAAAAAAAGGAGGCACACTACATCTCGATCCTCTCCCAACCAAAGGCCCAACGGGCCCCGAGATCACAGGAACCCCGGAGGGTCGCATGATCTAGAGGATGCCCCACGCCAAGGTCGCGGATGCCGGGAGCAAAGCGAGGCCCAAATGCCCGCGCCCCGGAAACCTTTCTCTCGTGCGCTTCCCGCCCAGGGCACACAAGCGGAGCCAGCCGCCGCGTGCCGACCCGGCTCGGGCGGGCAGGAGGCCAGGACAGGTGCGCCGGCTGCCCCCACGGCACCTGGTCAAGGGCACAGGCACCCCTCGGCGTCGCGGCCCACCTGGTCTCCGCACCCCTCCCCCTTGAATGGAAGTCCGGGAGCCGCCGAGGGCCACACTTCTTTTCCCCGGGGATAGCGTTGCACGCCTTCCTGCACGGCCGGGTGCGGGGGAGAGGCATGTGGGTTCCTGAGGATCACTGTGCGGCACGGAGGCTCAATCCTCAGTCCCCAGTAACGGAAAGCCGAGGAGGTGGCAAAAAAGTGTGTGTGTGAGTGACAGTTCGGGATCCGGGAGGGGTGAAAGTTCTGGGGCGCTCGCAGCTCAGCTGGGCAGGGCCGTCGCCTAGCTCCATCTCCGTCTCCCTTGGCTTACCTGGCTCTGGCAGAGGCCGCGGCGGCGAGGCCCGGGTGGAAGGCGGCGGCGATGCCGGAGAGGACGCGGCGGGAGTGCAGCAGGGCCATGGTGGACGGTAGGAGGGCAGTGAGTCGCCGCAGGACAAAGCAGAGGACGAGCTGACACAGACACTGGGCGCGGGCTCCTGCTGAAGATAAGGACAGCGACCTCCCCGGGCCAGAGCGGCCGCGCGCCGGGCCAGGGCCGCGTCACAGCGACCCCTGGCGGCCGGCGGGGCGGAGCGGCATGGCCTCGGCGGAGGTTGTGGCAGAGGATGGCAACACAGCATATACCCGCGCCGAGCGCTTGCTGCGCTTCATTCATTAAATCCAGCCGGGCCGGGCCTGGACTGGCCGAAGAGGTGGCTGCTGTTATGGCAGTTTGAAAGATGAGAAAATGTAGGCTGACATAGTTGACGTATTTTGTCTGATGCCTTACAGCCATTAGGACCCAAGGTAGCTTTACTTTCAACCCTAATGGTTTTTCTCTAAGTGTCAATTCATTTCACCTTCTTCCTGAATGTTTCCTTATTCCCCACCCCCCCCTTTTTTTTTTGCTATGGAGTCTTGCTCTGTCGCCCAGGCTGGAGTGCAGTGGCATGGTCGCGGCTCACTACAACCTCTGCTTCCCGGGTTCAAGCAATTCTCCTGCCTTAGCTCCCAGAGTTGCTGGGATTACAGGCGTCCACCACCATGCCCGGCTAATTTTTCTATTTTTAGTACTGTACAGATAGGGTTTGACCATATTGGCTAGACTTGTCTCGAACTCCTGACCTCAAGTGATCTGCCTGCCTCAGCTTCTCAGAGTGCTGGGATTACAGGCATGAGCCACCTCTCCTGGCCTCTTTATCCCTTTTATGGAGAGGGTCGCATGTGTATTTTGTGGGGCAGTTGTGAGGATTAATAAGATTAGCAGATTATGTCTAAAACAAGGCCTGATTTAGTAAGCACAAAATAACCCAATGTCAAACTCGTGTATGTCAAATCCTGATAATTGTTTGTGGAAGGGAACGAATCAGTTTTAAAGGAAAAAGCAAATGAATTTCAGACAAGTCCACAAGTCAAACGAGTCTTTCTCATCTGTAGGTCGTTTTTCTGATACTCGTCTCTTAAATCCAGATAGGGGCCCAGTGTGTTGGTTCATGCCTGTAAACCCAGCACTTTGGTAGACTAAGGCAGGAGGATGGCATGAAACCAAGAGTTTGAGACCAGCCTGGGCAACAAGATGAGACCCCCATCTCTACAAAAAGTAAAAAAATTTAGCTGAGTGTGCTGTTGCGTGCGTGTGGTTCAAGCTACTTAGAAGATTGAGGAGGGAGGATCGCTTGAACCCATTAATTCAAGGGTGCAGTGAGCCAAGATTGTGCTTCCGCAGTCCAGCCTGGGTAACAGAGTGAGACTCCGTCTCTAAATAAATACATACATACATAAATAAAACTGAGATAGAACTGTGTACCTTGCCAATTTCATTGCTCCACGTTGCCTGAATGAATAAGTCTAGATCCCTAGGTAGGGTCACATTCTAGGTTGTTCCAGTTCAGCTCCAATTTACTCTCAGACCCATATACTCTCTCTCTGACCTTGACCTATGCTCCTACAGGCCATGACTTGGGATTCTACCAGTACGTTAGTTTGCTCAGGTTGCTGTAACAAATCTCCATGAACTGGGTGGTTTAAAATGACAGAAATTTATCCACTCACAATTCTGGAGGCCCAAAGTAAAAAATCAAGACGTTGGCAGAGTTTGTGCCTTATAGGGTTTCAGACACTCTGTTCTATGCTTCTCCTAGCTTCTGATAATCGTCTGTACTCCTGGACATTCCTGTTCTGTTAGAGACATCACTATTCTCTGCCTCTGGCGTCACATGGTGTTCTCTCCCTATCTGTCTCTTCTCCTCTTGTAAGGACACCAATCATATTGGTGTAGAGTGCATCTTAATTGCCTCATCTTCACCTGATTACATCTGCAAAGTCCCTGTTTTGAAATAGATCACACTAATGGGTTCTCCAGGTTAGAACTTAAACATACCTTTTTTGGGGACACATTTCAACTCATAACAACTGTTCCCAAAACAATTACACTTCCAGATATAAACCCTAGATACCTTCTCCCAATTTTTAAAAATTTTTTTGAGATAGAGTTTCACTTTTGTCCTCCAGGCTGGAGTGCAGTGGTGCGATCTCGGCTCACCGCAACCTCCACCTCCCGGGTTCAAGCGATTCTCCTGCCTCAGCCTCCAGAGTAGCTGGGATTACAGGCATGCGCTACCACGCCCAGCTAATTTTGTATTTTTAGTAGAGATGGGGCTTCTCCATGTTGGTCAGGCTGGTCTTGAACACCCTACCTCAGAAAGTCTGCTCACCTCAGCCTCCCAAAGTGCTGGAATTACAGGTGTGAGCCACTGCGCCCGGCTTCTCACACATTTTTAAGGAAGTGTTGTTTAAAAGCAAAACAGAGAACAACCTAGTTGCCCATTGATGGAGGAAGAGATGGATGTTCTGTTACAGACTCATGATGGAGCATTACAGAACTACTAACATAAACGAACTCAACAGATATGGTTAGAACTCAAAAACAAAGAAACACGTTATAGAATTATACATATAATATGGTGCCACTTGAATAAAATTTTTAAAATACACGAAGCCATAACATATATTCATTCATAAATTTATGTTAACATTTGAAAAAGTGTGCCAAGGATATAGTTCAATACATGATTAGGAGGGACTGAGAGAGTATTTGCTTTTGTGGAGGGAAGGAGACAACTTTGTCATATCTGCTTCATAAAAATTACAGATAAGAGGCCAGTGCTGTGGCTCACATCTGTAGTCCCAGCACTTTGGGAGGCCGAGGTGGGTGGATCACCTGAAGTCAAGAATTCGAGATCAGCCTGACCAGCATGGTGAAATCCCATCTCTACTAAAAATACAAAAAATTAGCCAGGCATGGTGGTAATCCCAGGCACCTGTAATCCCAGCTACTCGGGGAGCTGAGGCAGGAGAATCGCTTGAACCTGGGAGGCGGAGGCTGCAGAGAGCCTAGATTGCGCCATTGCACTCCAGCCTGGGCACAGAGCAAGACTCTGTTTAAAAAAAATAAAAATACAGATAAGATAAACAATTGTCATCATTTTGGGGTTGAGTATTTGTTACATTGAATTCTGTACTTTTCCATGTGTGTATGTGTGTGTGTGTGTCTGCATATACTTTTTTTGTGTGTGTATATGTGCATACATATATACGCTAATTTGAGTTCTGATATGAAAGGTGGATTGGAAGGAACAACCCTACAGGTGGGGAGACTAGGTAGAAGGAAGGCTGAGACAAGAATCCAGGCAAGAAATTCTGATTGCCTGAGTTAAGGTAGAGGTAACAGCGATGGAGAAAAGGTCACAACAGATCTGGGGCATATCAAGAAGGTAGAATCAGATGGATTTGGTGATTAGATGCAGAGAGAGGTAGAAAAGGAGTCAGAAATAATTCCCAATGCATAGTTAAAATTGGGGTTGTCTGCAATTAACAGAGACCCCAAATAATTGACTTAACATAAAATATATCTTTCTCACGGCCGGGCGCGGTGGCTCAAGCCTGTAATCCCAGCACTTTGGGAGGCCGAGGCGGGTGGATCACAAGGTCAAGAGATCGAGACCATC